GACTTAATTTTGCGTTATCGCCCTCTTTATTCATTCCTGCATTCTGCCTTCTTATAACCCATATAGTCCTCACTTTCATACATTGTTCCCTTATACAGGGTGCGGCAGAGAGGACGGTCATTCTTCTCCGCCACCGTCTACGAGAGAAGTGGGGAGGGTGCCATTTGACTCGTGAGATCCTAGCATTATTTTACCAGTTGTCGTTTTGGAGCCTTGGACGGTGGAGCACCGCGTTTTCGCCTATGATTGTTTCGTCCGAAATAATGAGTCAGTCATCGTCGTACAGCGTGAGTTTCGTGGCCACTTCAACATTCATCGGAATAGAGCTGTTCCCTCTCGAAACACCATCCTTCGTTGGGTTGAATCACTTCGCAGGCGTGGTGAAGTGACCAACAGAAGACCAAGAGGAGCGCCGCGAACAGTTCGAACTCCTGAAAATGTTGAACGCGTTCGACAGGTCTTTCTTCGCAGTCCGACTCGATCTGCCCGGAAACATGCTGCTGCACTTCGCCTTAGTGATCGTTCGGTAAGGCGAATTTTGCATAGGGATCTCCGCTTTCATCCCTACAAATTGGCCATTGAGCAACAGTTACAGCGCGAATGAACTTCGCACGTGAGATGGAAGTACTGATCGATAAAATGAGAACCTCATTTTGTTTATGAGTGACGAAGCCCACTTTCACCTAAACAGCAGGGTTAACCAGAAGAATTGTCGTTATTGGGCTAATGAAAATCCGCAACAGTTACACGAAAGACCGCTCCACAGCCCAAAAGTAACGGTCTGGTGCGCTGTATCGCAAACTTGCATCATTGACCCTTACTTCTTCGAAGACGGTAATGGTCGTGATGTTACAGTGAACTCAGAGCGCTACGTCGACATGATCACCAACCTCTTTCTCCCTGAATTACGATGGCGACGTGTTCCAATCCGACGCGTGTGGTTCCAGCAGGATGGGGCGACCGCCCACACAGCCCTAGCATCCATGGACGTTACTCGCCCTCTCTTCCCTGGTCGCCTTATTTCCAGGTTTGGCGATGTTCATTGGCCTTCTCGGTCCCCAGATTTATCCATATGCGATTTTTTCTTATGGGGACACCTCAAGGCTAGAGTATACTCTGGACGAATTGAAGTGCGAAATTCGCGCGGAAGTCGCCCAAGTTGAGAGAGCGATGTTGGAGAGAGTCTACGCGAACTTCCAAGAACGCCTCCAGCACTGCATCAACGATTTCGGCCACCACATGTCTGATGTGATTTTCCACACTTGACTATCTCAAATGCTCTTTCCTTGTGAACCTGATTCCATCAATAAATTTGTTTTCGAGTAAATATTGACTATTTTATGATTTTTTTAAAACCGTCCATCCTCTCTGCCGCACCCTGTATAATTAAATTCCCATTTTCCCAAATAAACGTCCGTGGCCTCCATACAATCCCATTGTCCAGACAGTTGCCGGAAATGGTGGAGATTTCGGTATATTGCAAAAATCATTTGATAACAGCAAATCTTTTTATTGGGCTTTTGCCTGGACAGTTGATTTATTTCATCTCACTTCTTGTTTCCTCCTTAAATCGAAGGATTTTTAACAGGATTGTATACCTAGCGGCAACATTGAAAAATGCAAAATATTGAACCAAATCAAAATTCTTGATGAATGGTGAAAATCCAGCAAGACTAAACCAAAATTTAGCTTTATCTACTTTAGAGCCGTATCGTGAGTCACTTGGCATCCTATAATTGTAGGACGCCTTTATGGCCTCCCTGATTTTCATAGTTTTCTACCGTTCTGTGCCAGCGCTACATTTTGAGGTTATGTTGCAAATATCTATTAGCATGAAATTTTTTATACTTTTGATTTATATCATGTTATATCAGCCTAAAATTTCTTGCAATTTTAAAAGAGAATAGCCTCACAATAGGAGAGCGCTGACGCTGACACGAAATACTAGAAATCTAGAAATACCCCAGCCATTCTGAAAGAGAGAAAATACTATCAAAAGCAAGGAATCCATAAAGGCTTAAGTGACTGGCGCGCTATAAGTAGTAAGTTTACGATATGATTTTAGTGCCACGAGATTCTATGTAGGAATCTCAGTAAGCCCAAAAACTGAATATCAAATTCATTAAAATACTTCTTAATCTGTTTTGTTGGATAAATACGCACAATGATATAATAGTACTGTCGAAATCACGAAATATGACGATTACGTGACCATTTTAGTATGTAGCAGAGACAAATCACAGCGATTTGTGAATATTTTTAATGAAGTTTCAGATATGTTAGACAGAGACAAACAGAATTCTATTGTCTAATATGATAATGAATCACACCTGAAAATAATGCGATAAGTATATGATATGGATATGCAATGATTTGTTTTGTAACTTACCAACCTCTATCAAGATTGGTTGTTAGCTTCTGGATTTTCATACACACAAATATATTATAGTATAATATAGCCATGTGCATTAATTTTTTTAACTCAACAATTTCTTGACGATGCCACAGGTTGTGGAATTTGTTCAATGTAGCGAGGTATTTTTGGGTGATCGATAATTATTTGCAAGAAAATTATAAATTATGGTTCTGCTGTCATGTGACTTGAACGTCAAAACAACCTCGAGCCAGAACTGTCAGATGTCGGAAATCAAAAGGAGGACATACATGTGCGTTAACGAAGAAGACGTAATATTGTCGAAATCAAGAAGGCCATAAACCAGCCCTACAATTGTAGGGTCGACTGACGATACGGGCCTAAATAAACTGTATTGCTAATTTGCATGTATCCGACAAAAATAGACGATGTTTTGTTGTATGATCGATCATATTTGAAAGATGAATAGTTAGGTTATGTTAAAGCAGGTTAGGTTGTTTTCGAATAATACTTTGGTCTTTGGTGTTCCTGTCTTAAGGTGTTCTACTCACAACTTTTTTTCAAACCAAAAACTCCCCACTAAAATTATTATTAAGGTATCACTCAAAACTATGAAGTAAAATAAAAATAATCAGTGAAATAACCTAACTTCGCAAAATCGTAATATAAATTTGTTGTCATTATGTGACATCATGATTTTGTAATCGACGTACGTCCATTGATTAGTTCAGTACAACTTATGGTATGACGTAATAGTCATCTTTCGTGTTTTTGACTATAGGAATTTACATACATATCATGCTCAACTAGGTATTTGCCTAAAGTATCCTCGGAACAGCACAACTATTTGGGAAAGCCGCGTAGCATGCAAGTTGTACCTCTATTTCCTATATCAGGTATTTCACCATTGTTGCTGTTTGATGGAGAGAATGTTTCTTATTGTTCTCCTTTGAAAATCACGAATTAAGCAGAATTGATAGTATCCTGTACCGTTAATAAATATTTACTTTCGTTTCCTTGCCTTATTTAGTTTATTCCTGCCGGGCTGATAGGACCATCCAGGGTCTATCTGGATGTACACTCGCCCAATCATGGGCTCAGTGATTTGAGTTTCCACAAGCTGGCAAGGACGGCTTCCTAATAGAAATCAGTCTACTGTCCATTAGTTAGATTACCGTTACCCTTACAGCCGAACCATAATAAATGGCAGCATCTTGCTGTGTGAATGCCTGAGCAGTATGTCACACCTAAACCGCGAAATGTTGTTACATCTAGGTTTAGCCGGTTAGACGTTAGAACATGGTATATGTATCAACAAGCAGTTGGCTAGTCCTAGGTAAAGCCTATGCCAAACCTAGGATTACGCGGTTGCATTCGGTTAAAACTATATATGAACGCTACGAACAGGTTTGGACGGGTATTTAAGGTAACCATTTTCACAAATTTCTTGAACATAACTAAATCACACCTTTTCATTGTCAACACAGTAATAAAAAAACTGTTCTAGTAATTTTGATGGTATTACGATTGACATAAAGCTGAATTCAATGAGTCGATCATGTGCGGAGCGCCGGTAGGCCAAATTGTACTACATCCTATTACTAGCAAATCAGGGAAGCTAGAATCTCTCCGCTAAGGAGTATCCCAACCACCGTAATCGTGTTGGTCCTGACATATTATTTTATCTTAGACAAATGATAACTAAAGTTTTAACGATGCTCTGCGATTTGACGTGCCATCTACGCTTTATTGAGAATTAATTTAAAATTTGGAAAAAAGTTAATATCTTTGTTTTTGATTCTTGTTTGTCGTAGATACGTGAGTATCGACGCGGTGGGCATCTGAAGTATCATTTCTGCACATCGCTATGTAATGATATGAATCGCAACCCATCTCTACTACCCCGGCATGGTCTTTATGAAGGAGGGGGATGTATGAAAGTAATTCCTGTAGCTTGCAGTCAACCATTAAAATACCTATATATATGATATGATCTGGACGACACTATTACCACTCCCTCCTATGTCTAAAACCATTGAAATGTAAAAACGGAATTGGAAGTGTTAATGTACCAAATACGGAAAAGTGGGGCATGGTCAGCTCGGCTTCATCTTCGATGTTACCATATGTATAGGATACCCTGGTACTGGCGACTAGTCAAATGTGTAAATATGATACCAAAATTTAGAAAAATTAACAACTGTTGATATTCCTGCCAAGCATGCATTCCTAGCAATATTGCTGGCAAGCCCCTCGTTCCTGGCAAGTGACAGTAATTACAGGCAAAACGGCAACACAGCAAGTGAGTTGACGGGTCGCTACCTGTCCGAACCTATTTGTGCCGTATACATCTAGTTTTAAACACTAAATTTGGCTAGACCTGGTTGTAGCCTGAATTATTATTTTTTTTTTTAGATTTCTCCATGAATGCATCACCTGAGACTAGCCAGCTGCCAATGGCTACACATAGTTCTAACCTCAAAGCCAGACTTTGAAATATTTTTCTTGTATTGCTCTGTATGCGACTTGACTTAAAAAGTCGTAACATGCTTATTATTATAGACAGGTGACGCTGCATGTAGCAAACGAAAATCCACAATATTATCATAAGCTTCACATGACGAGGGTTGTCTTTTAAGTTTTGCATATGGAAATAAAACAACACGGTAGGTAGTTTTAAATGACTTTATTGTTTTTCGAAGTCTCATCCACGAAGATTAATTCACATCTGCATACGCTCGAACCAATTTTCGAAGCACTTATTCAACTCGTTTGCTGGCAGATCTAAAACGGCATTTTTGAATGCGTCAACTGCTTCTTCTGGTGACTGGAACCTTTGACCGCGCAGTCTGTTTTTAATTTTCGGGAAAGTAAAGAAATCGTTAGGACTTAGATCGGGACTATATGGAGGATGGTCCAATAATTCCACGTTTTCCTGCGTTAAATACTCCCTTGTTTTTTGGGCTGTGTGCGAGCTTGCATTGTCTTGGTGGAGGATGATTCTTCTTTCGGGGTTGATTTTTCGAAGCTCGCTGATGACTTTTGGCAAACAAATGGTAATATACCAATCCGCAGTAACAGTTCTTTGCTCATTAAGAAGAATTGTTGTAATATGACCCGCTTTTGACACAAATGTCGCGACCATCTTTTTCGAAACACTTCGAGAATGGATGACTTTTGTTGGCTTTTCTTCACCTTGGAACACCCAAACAGCCCACTGTCGTTTATTTTCTGGTTCATAACAGTAAATCCACTAACAATGCTGTACACATTTTTTGAGTTTCCGGAATTGAAACGGTCAAGCGTTTTTTCACACCAATTTACCCTGGCTGCTTTCTGCTCTTCAGTCAACAGGTGGGGTATCCAACGAGAGACTAAGTTTCTTACTCCTAATTCTTCATGTAATTTTGTTTTAATTGAGGTCTTTGAGATCTTCAAGGACACCTCAATCTCGCGATATGTCACATGTATATCTTCAATGATGAGTTTGCGCACACCATCGACGTTTTCCTGGGATCGTCGCTAAGACTCACCCGTCTAGGTTTGAATTCTCCATACCAACGGGAAATTGTCGACTGATCTGGCGCTTCATTGCCGAAAACAGACAGTAACTCAGCAAGGCATTCTTGTTGCGATAATTGTCTCTGAAAGTTGTAATAAATTATGGCGCGAAAATGTTCTCGGTTGAGTTCCATTTTTCTAATGACTTGGTGACACTTATAAATTCACTGTAGTGAGAATGCTGTACGTATGTTGTGAAACTTTGAATTTAAGTTTACTAACGAGTGAGGTTAAGATTCACTACTGACGTTCGTAAACTCATTTTTGACATTTCGGAGTTTAGCTGTAATAGATACAATCCTGACAAGTTTTCCCAATAACGCCCGGAAATGTATGTCGAATGTACAACTTCCTCGACAAATAGCTTCATTCTGTATACCACGTGCGTTCTTGAATTCTCTTGCGACTTTACTACTACTACAAAATGTCTTAACGAAGATTTAACGCAATGGTTGGCTAGAGTATGCTGCGTCACTAAACAGGATGCTTTCTAAGATTTAGCAAACAGTTTGAAAAGTCATAAAAAGCAGGCTTTGTTTATTATTCGCTCAATGGAGAATTTACAATGTTTGCAAATAAGATGAGAATCAGATAGATTGTCATTTTGACATATCACTGAGATTATTACGTTTTAGATGAAGCTTACACAAATGCAATATTATTGACATAAATTGCTCATCTTGTTTTTCCCAAACGCCAATTACCAATTGGTAAAATATGACTTCAAGCTACTTCTTACTAACAAACACTTTTAATTAGCTACTAAAGACTAAAAATCGGCAAAAGGATTACATAAAAAACCTACATAATGTCAAAAAAATCCTATAAAATGTCAACTTGTTGACTAGATAGCTGTGCAAATAGTTTATTCCGCGCCTGCTACAAGTGGCAATGGATTGAACTACAGCTAGTTCCTAGTTGATATCTTGTAGAAAAACCTACATATTATGATAAAAAAACAAAATAATGCCAAAAAAGACATATTGCAATTTTTCAAGTAACGTAATACCCATGCGAATATGGGATCTTTAACTTAGTTGAATATCTTTCCCCTTCCTCAGTTACATAGTCATATGATTTCGGTTCTAGCATTTTCCACTAAATGCATTTATGAATTTAAGCATTTACGCGATTGTTGAAGTACCGTTATCATTATCAAGAAAAAGTGCAACAATCCGGGAAAAACAGCGCAAGATGATTCCTTGTAATTCATTTTAAAACTTATTCATGTGGCTGTCCTACTTATTATAATATTTTTGCTTCCAATTCCCATTGCATTGCACTAATAATAAGGAAGATGTAAAAGTAGGTTGTCCTTTTTAATCTGATCCAGCGACCCCGACTACTATGATGAGCTTAAGGATATGATGTTCCTCCGACTTTTGAATAGCCTAAGTTAGCGTTAAAATTTGGAGTAATAATCAAAACTGGTAACCGTTCTAACATTATGGCTCAATAGCTCCTCGGGCAGCGTAAAGTCCTTGTAGTGTACTCAGTGTAAAATATATATAATAATTTTCCTAGTCAAATAGAGGAAAATGCACTACAGTGCCCAGCAGAACACCTAGTAGGAAAAACTGCATAAATATTGCAAAAGTGCATGCCATGGGAAAAGTTAATTGCATTAATTTAAAAGACCTCATATTTTTCAGTTGTTTCACCAACTTGCTTATATTGACGCGATTGTTAAAGTTGTTATTTCCAAATCTACGCCTCAAGATTTGCCGCTAGATCGCAAGGTATTGATCTCGGAACGCTCCCCTGTGGAACTTCAGCGTTTATTCCTTTAAGAGCTGAATATTCGCTCCCCTTCGTAGCTTTAAATAATCTATCTGATAACCACTTTAATATTCCACAATACCAGACGACAGCAGCCCTTTTAACAATTATTAAGACGATGTATTTGATCAGCCGCAGAGTGCTTTTCTGTAAACTCAAACTTATACCTGAAGATATGATCTTTTATGCTGCGTCAGGAAAATTTTGATGCTACGGAGGCCATAAAGACACACCTTTGAAGAAATTTTTTGGATTCGGGAGCATTATGTGTAAAGAATATTCACTTTATGACTATCGCCAACTGTCAAGGTCGAAAAAAATCGAAAAACACGTTGCCAAGTAATATTTTAGCAAGAAGCGTGTGCTGGTGGCAAAACAATTCGAATGTTTTTTGTTAAAATAAGATTACTTTACATTGTGTTTATTCGATTTTTATCACAGGAAAAAATTAGATGCCCGAATGGTTTTTGACAAGACCATTTCATGGGTAACAGGTAGCTTTATTACGAATATAATATAATACATAATTTATTGACAATAGAATCTTAAAAATTCTTCAGCGTCGTTTTTGGTGTCCTAGGAGACCATAATTACTTGTTATCAAATGTATTTTAAGTTTTGGTGACAAATACTGTAAGTTTTGCCGCGGGTAAACTCGAAAAAACTGCTGACAGGTGCTGTCATACAATTTTTCAATCCAGGAACCATTTGTAATTCGAAATTGCCCGTTTGTGATTGGTAGAAATTAGGACGAGGGAAATAGTCGACGTAAATCCTTTTGTAACTAGTTACGTAAATACTCAGTTAGAAGCAGCCCCTGAAATAAATCAAACGGCAATACACACTACCTTCACAAGCTGCTCCATAGCTTCCACTATCTAAAAGGCCCGTATCGTAAGTCGTCCCTACAATTGTAGGGCGCGTTTATGGCCTCCTTGATTGTCATAGTTTTATACTTCTCCGTGTCAACTCTCCATTTTGAGATTATGTCACAAACATCTATTTGCATCAAATTGTGCTTGCTTTTGAGTTATATCATGTTTTATCAGCCTGAAATTTCCTACAATTTAAAAGGAAAACATATCTTCACAATAGGAGAGCGCTGACGCTGACACGGGACGAGTGTAATCTAGAAATTTTTGAAGGAGAGAAAAGAGTATGACAATCTAGGAGGGCATAAACGCGCCCTACAATTGTAGGGACGACTGACGATACGGACCTAAATACAGGATGAGTTTTCAGTGTGTGATCAGGCGATAGCTCTACAAAAAAATTGTAGACAAGCATAATGGTATTATGTAAAGAGACACAGTCTACAGGGTGATTCATAATAACTATGTGGCAGCATTGACATGTCCTTGAAATAAAATGTCCTGCATCAGTGTATTCTGAAAGGATTCTTCAAGTAAAGAAGTGTAATATTTCAATTTTGATCGCTACTTTGTGAGCTACTGCATATTTTGTCCATGCTCCTTGAAAGATAGTCACCTTTTCGTCAAAATGACGTTCATACCCCACAGTCCCTCGCCATTTAAATACTTTTTAACTTTTCTGCATCACTTGTGACACAAGATGTACTTTTCACAAAAAATTCAAATACCCTATATACCTTTACGGTTTTGGATTAACCTTTTTATGATATTTAATTTGATACAAAACTTTTTGGAATAAATTTCAAATAATGGAGCTATTTCCAGGTTCCCAGAAAATACGATTCAAAACAAATAAATACAGACTCTGGATTATCTTGAAGCTAAACGGTATATTGATTCGTTAATATATAAAAAACTGGGATTACAACTTATATGGATTATCAGCTTTGTTAACTGCTTTCGGTAAGATTTCCTCAGCACATTCATTATTCAATACTTATGTCGATAGAGGTACACTTAGACTCGTCTAAACAGCTTCTTTTCCGGTTTCGACACTGAAGATTGTAAACGATAAATAAAACCCTGGATTCTCTTGAAGCCGAATAATACATTGATCCCCACACATGTTTATTTTGACACGTAGTTGTAAAACAACTTGCAGAGATCAACGTACTCGTATTTTCCAAGAAAGGAATGCTTCTTAATTCAGAAATATAGGCAGACACGCACGTTTGCCCATAGTTCTTGTAAGTGACATTTTTAATATCATTCGTAACGAAGCTATCGACGGACTGCATTCTAAAAGCTCACCCTGTACCTAGGACTCCGAGCTTTGGATAATGGGTTATAATTACGGTATACAATTGCCCTGCTTTGTCGCCCGCTTGCAAATCACTTGCTCGGAGAGTAAAGAAACAAAGCTTCAAGGAGGATGTGAGGGTGGTTGGGTCCAAGGAAGCTTTTCGAATTCAGTGGCGTCTCTCCAGCGGGGAAAGGTCTCAACGTTGATTGAGGCCGAAGAGGTAGTCACATATTTTCTTTATCAGCGTGACGACATCCAAGGTAATTTACGGAGGACTAAGTGGATATACAAGGGAACGATTTAATTCGAGAAAAATTTCCGTCCCACTGGGATTAGATTCAAGGCAATCAAAGGATGTATGAGCTGCTAATACTGGACTTTATATATATGACTTCCTGAGCCTGAAAGCAGTCATGAGGGCAACAGCTTAACCCCAATTCATCCTTGACATTTTTTAACCCTTCACTCATATAATATATTCATTGCACTACTTAATTGATCAGCCTTGTAATCAACTGTACCGGTGACAGCTTCTTCACTTGTCGCCAAACAGGTACCCTGGCCACGTTAACACCGTGGGTGGATATACCAACGGAGGGGTATTACGTAAAAAATCGATATGTGATTAACTGTCGGAATAGTGTACTAAGTAGTCGCTAGCCAATTCCGCACCTACTTGCTATGAGCGCCACCTATGGAGGAGTGCCGCAAAGACCTTCATTCTGTAAATAGTATAGAACACCTTAGGCCATAGAATTTATGAAGGATCTCCACTAGTCCCACCTCTGAAGCAGATGCTACGTCACATCTTAGCCAAATTATACGACTTAAGTGCCATGATGCTTCAGCAACACGCATAACATTTAAGTGAACATGGCTACTACAAGAAATGAGAGATATTTCCAGGGTGATATTTTCTGGAAAAACCTATATAATATAATAAAAAATTGACATAATGGCACATTTTAAGGTTCGTAATACTGTTGCGGGACTATGCTATTCCGTGCGTTAACCTCAGTCTGTGGTAATAGATGGTGCCATACTAGTTCATTTAAACCGTGCGCTATTCAAGGTCTTAGAGAAGCACAAGGGATTACAGTACGAACAGGGTCGTCAGTGTTGCGCTATAGGTTTATCTTCGCGGTTCAAATGGACAGGTGCTGCGCCTGTTTTTGGAACA